GAGGCCCAATGTCCATCTGCTACCTTAATACTAAACCTATAAATGTATGCAGATAGATTTCCCTATGGTTATACATATATTTACATATGTACATGACTGTATTTAGACCTCTATAAATGTCCTTTACCTCCTAGTTCTTTCCTCTATTGCCTCTTACTTTCCTCTTGTCCCACTATCATGATCAACCTTCATTTGGGTTTCAGTAATTCTTCTTGGTTACATTGCTTTTGATCAAGCCCTACCAGGCACCCTACACACTCATTGCCATCAATTTTAGATCACTTGTTGTTCCCTGTCCCTGGTTTGTTAACACCCACTTACTTTCCCCCGCCTCCCCCTCTCCTGTGACCCCTGGAACTGTTGGTCTTGTTGTTTTCTCCTCTGAATTGTTTACCCCACCTATTTTATTTAGATAGACATACAGAGAGAATAATAAGCACAAAAACAAGACAGAGCAAAACAAAACAACAAAAAAACCAATGACAAAAAAGAAAAGCCTATAAATAGTTCAAGGTCTGTTTTTTGACCTTTAGGAGTATTTTCCTGTCGAGTCTGCTGGGGTGCCATGCCTGACCCCAGAGTCTATTTTTGGTAATCCCTGGGGATTTGCTCCCCTTGGTGCTCTGTTGCACGCCCTTAGCATTTTGCCCCGGCGTGGTGGGGTGAGGTAGTTAGTTTATTGTACCAACCTGGCTGATAAACACATGTGGGGTTAATTGAAGAGGGGAGGGATAAATGGCTGTGAGCCTTGCCTTTTGGAGTTCTCGGGTCTCTTGCTTTCTGATGGTCAGAACAGGGTGCTAGTTCCCTGCTTTAGTTGGCAAGGCTCACTTCCTGCAAGACATCCCTGAGGAGAAGCCACATGGACCTACCCCAGTGCAGTCCTGGGTGCTAGAGCACCCGTGTGGGACCCCTGCCAGCGCTGAGATGCTTATACATTCACTGACTCGGCTTTCCTCCTGCAGTCGGCATCATTGCCTCTGTTTTGTGAGATGGACGAGGACTTTGTGGATTGGTGTTGGACATATGGGTTAATGGGTTAATGTTGGACTTGTGGGCTTGGACAGCACTGGGTTGGGATGTTTTCTTGATGCACATTTAACCTTTATATAAAACTCTCTTATACATGAGTTTCTGTGGATTTGTTTCTCTAAAGTACCCAGACGAACGAACACATGGGGTCAGATCGGGCACAATTCCCACACTGTACCTCCAGTGTTGTCCCTTATATGGGTCAGTGAGGGATGTCATGTCTTGTGGTGGGGTTGGCCCTATGGTCCTCTCTGTGCATTGGCTGCTCTGAGCAGGAATATGGTCCTGGGAGCTTGGTGGGCCAGGATGTGCCCCACTCTCTCTCCTTCCCTCTTCGTTTGCTCCTGTGTGCTCTTATCAGATGTACCACTCTCCCTGAGCTGTAGCTTCAGTGCTGTCCTCTGAAGTGAATTCATGAGTGTGGGGGTGGGGAGAGACACGCTACAACTTTTAAGGACCTTTCCAATAGTAAGCGTTTACCGAAAGATAATACTGACTATAATTTTGTTTTTTATATTTGATTTCATGAATAATCTTTAAATATAAATATTTAAAATAAAGACCATTTCAATATCCTCACTGATGGAAATGGCATGTGGAGATGGTCTGGTAGGATAAAATCCATTCATTGCACACGCTTTTTTCCGAGGGCCCACTCAACCTGCCCTGCGCCAGGAGCACCCAGGGATGGCCAGACAACCCCATCTTTGTCTTGTGCCCTACCCAGCGAGGAGGGACAGCCATGAAAGGAGCCGGAGCCTGCGCCGCCCCACCGCCCAGAGCCCAGTCCCCACTGCCCTGGAATGAAGGCACAGTGCTGCTTAGCCTGCTCCCCTGACTCGCCAGTCCCACGGGCGGTGCTACGACCAGGACATCAGTGGGTTTTCTTCTGGGGGGTTATGTATTCCCTGTGAGCTTCCGGCTTTCCCGAACCCACGGATATAGGAAGTCTCTCTCTCTCTCTTTCAGATTTGAACCCAAACCGAATGGACGAGAAGACACCCCCAACCCCAACCCCGCAGCCTCAGCCTGGGTTACCCCTTCTCTCCGTTTCGGGAACAAGGAGGAAATATCCCAGGGGTGGGGGTGGTGTTCTGGATGAAACTACTTTGGGTCGCTGGCAAGAAACTCCCAGGAGGGTTCCTGGCACTTTGCTGACCCTGACTCTCCCCACCCTACTTTCTAACCCTGGGCGGAGA